TGCTGCAGCCCTCCGCAGGAGGAGGAGGGTTTGAGACACAGCTGGATGGTCCCGTGAGCTTTATTTCAGCATCTCTTCTGCTACCTCAACTGGAGAACCACGATGGAGACCAGCACCTCTTTGGAATGGCCCAGGGGTAAAAAGAGGCCCTAATTGGTTAGGGGCTGGGTTGAAGAGAGATTTCAGGGTGGAGACAGAAGCATATGGGGATTTAGAGAGAGATCAAGAAGAGTCAGTCTCCATGGTCTCTGTAACACTCATCAGGCAGCTGGAGATTAAACCCTCCCCTTGGCTTTCGCTTCCTGCCTCTTCACTGAGCCTCTGCTTCCCACCATCTGTTCCAGCCTCACAACCAAAATGTTCCACTTCTCTAAGTTCTTAACTTCCCTAAGAGCTAAATGTTCCACTTCAGCTTCATGATAATGGTGACTTCATGACTGAGAAAAGCTCAACGTGCAGCTCAGCTAAGGCAAATTTTCACGCTAATGGATTTAAATATGCTAAAAATTAGGGGTTTTTTTTCCCCCTTTCTCCATTTTGAGAACCACACTGGCCAGAAAACCCACACTTTCTTTTTAGTGCACTGTCTACAACAGCTTATTTAGGCCCCTTGTGCAGGTATGTAGAGCATCATCAACCCAGTCCCCACTTACCCTCGCACGGTGCCTGTCTCCTGATAATTCACCTGAATAAATTTTCCAAAACGACTCGAGTTGTTGTTATGAGCTGTCTTGGCATTTCCAAAAGCCTGTGAAAAGAGAGAGAGATGCCATTGTTAGGTCCAAAAAGACTGACCTTATTTATGTGCACATCATCAGTGACTCCTCTTTGGGCCTTTTGCTGTTGCTGTGTAATTAATAAAAAGCATTTGGTGGAAGTCAGTTGAATGATTTAGAAAATACTACAATGAGCTTCTGGGGACCATATTCATTTTTAGTTTGCTATTCCTGAAGGGCAGATAAACACTGTTTAAAAAGAAAGTGTTAGCTGTACAAGAGATTTAATATTTGAAGTCATTCTAGTCTATATTAAGGCTAAGCTTTATTCATTTAAATAAAAAGTACACTGCTCCAACAAGACTCTGCATTTTAATGAGCTAGAGGAAGCTGCTTTTTAATAATATATGGAATTAGGGGAAAAAAACGCTTTGAAGGCTACTCAGATGTCAGACATTGTCATATGTAGCACCATCATAACCCAGCACTTCAGACACTGTCATTTCAATTCGCTGCTGTTTCTTCCAAAAGCAAAATGCTTTTAAGTCTTGATTACACAAAGCTTTTCTTAAACCCCGCCTTACCTAATGCAGAGACTCCTTTGTTGCCATTTAAAAGAAATCCCTGAACAGAAGAGATGTTGGGAAGTAGTAAAACCACACCTTAGATTCTCCAAAACCTGGGATTTTCGGCTGTGCCTAAATCACTTCAACAACAATCCAGCCCAGGGTGCCAGAACCTGTCAGACTGCCAGGTCCAATTAATGTTTCATTTATTAAACCAATTTTGAGAATCATTCACCTTCTCTTGTAAGCCAGACTTATTTAAGGTAATTACACACAGGATCATTTCTAAGTGGTGTTTGCGTATGGATGTTGAATTACACTTACAAACAGTTTGTGCTGAGGCTTAAAATCAGAGCTCAGCTCCAAGCTCCTGAGAGATTTATTCCCTACTCAGTTTTTTATTAGAAAAGATTAAAAGGGATTTACATTGATAATCTGAAGTTTTTCAGATGACCTTCTGAGATTTAACTTTGTGACTAAAAGCGGAAAATAAAAGGCCAAATTAAGTGAAACCTTGGTGAAAAAGCATCAGACACCTTCCACACCTGCATGACATGTCTTCTCATGGCTGCTGGTATCCTCCCAGGCAGATTAATTTGGTAATCTGGCTAGACTGAATGACTGAAGAACTGAAGGAGGTTTGCTAACACAACACCGACCTGATTTTTTCCCCCCAGATTTGAATCCAGGAATTTGTTTCAACTCAAGATGTTGCATATGAATTAGCTTGCGTTGACTAAAACAAGTTCTGGGACAGCTGAAACCTGCCGAGTGAGCAGAGATGATTCCAGATACACAGCTAAGGAACGCTCCCCTGCAAAGGTTTCACATCCTGTCAGGCTGTTTCCACCTATTTGCTGCTTCTTCCCCCCATAAAATGCTTCCTACACCCACCATCCTTCCCCCATTCCACACTCTGGGGAGTGATGAAGATGTTCACACCTCCAGGTGACCACTGACGTTCCTCAAACTCTGCTGTCAATGAAAATCGAATCTTCTTCTCCCCCAGAATCAGCATTTTGGCATTAAAAGATGAGATACTCTTTAACATTTCGAAAGGATTTCCATCTGTCCTCTTCCAGGGATTTCAGTGAGCAGAGACACAGCAAGAAGCTTATAAGCAGAATATGTTGATATTTATAGAAGTATAGACAAGTTTTGGTTGGAAAAGACCTTTAAGATCATCAAAGTCCAACCGTTGCCCCAGCACTGCCAGGTCCCCCCTGACTCGTGTCCCTCAGGACCACATCTCCATG